AGGCAGGGGAAGGAGGGCATATACTGTCTTTCGACACTATTAAACACGGATCCCGGGGTCGACCCCGTAATCCGCGTCTAATACAAAAATGAAAAATGAGTTTTCTAATAAGCCCTGCAAACTTGATTTTCAAACAAACGGTGACGTTTTGAAAACTCCACCGTTGCAAATAAGCTGTCCCAAACGCGGCCTTAGTGTGTGTGTATATTTGGGTATATGTATGTATATAATGACACTAGGAAAAAAAAAATCACTATGACAGCATTTATTTACAACAAGAAAAAAAAAATCACTATGACAGCATTTATTTACAACAAGAAAAAAAAAATCACTATGACAGCATTTATTTACAACAATAATAAAACCGTCATAAATGGGCCGAGAATGCAGTCCCAAACTCCATATGGTTATATAAAATGGGCCGAGATTGCAGCCCATACAAACAATTCATTTTTATTAGTCCATATAAAGCGGAGATTCGTAAACGAAAAACCCTAACCTCTGCTCGAAACCTCTTTCTAGGGTTTTCTTATCTCCAACTCTCCTCTCACCTTCTTCTTCTACTATGGCGACGACGTGCTCTCTTCTATCTCGTTTTCGTGCCATCTGCACCCCCACCTCACGCCCCTTCGCATATCGGACCTTTTCCATTCGCACCTGTCCGATTCCGCAACTCCGGCCGCTCGTCTCCGTCAGCGAGGGCTTGCGTCTTGTGATCGATCGCCGAGGTGTCGCTGGCCGATGTTTTTCGACTCGGTCGACAACCTCATCCATTCAAGATCCGTCTCCGAATTGGAGCAACCGGCCCCCGAAGGAGACGATTCTCCTTGATGGATGCGACTTCGAGCACTGGCTTGTTGTTGTGGAGAAGCCCGATGAGAAATTGACCAGGGATGAGATTATCGATTCATATATTAAAACACTAGCCCAAGTTGTCGGAAGGTTTGCTCCGCTCTTTCTACCTTCTGGTTCTTGGCAGATTTCTTCATATTGTAATTATTGTACTGTGTATAGATAATGGGTTCTTATTAGGGAGGTGGTACGGATTCACAATCTTGAACCCTAGCGCATACTGTGTTTTACATGGCGGATGTAGCTTTTATTCTTAGGCTTTTTTCCCAAATCTTTATTTATTTATTATTTTTTTTGGCTTAAATGTGATATGAACGCGGACTCAGCCATAATGCATATTTTAATAGAGATTAATATTACTTATTTTTCCACTTAATCAACCCATTGTTTTGTCAATATAAATGTGCTTGTGCTGCACATACATTGATTGGAAACAAAGTGAAGAATCCTAAGAGGAGCCAAAAAAAAAACGAAAAAAAGGAGGAACAGATAAGGGAAATTTACATGCATGCCACAAAAAAATTTGATCTTTTCATGATAACACCTTGGTATTAAAATCCTATCAATGAAAATGTATATTTCACTTTTAAAAAACTAGTAATAATGGTATATTTGCTGTGATGTCAAAGATTTGAGTATTATGTATATAAATAAGAAACTTTAGCTGTTTGTTATGTAAATAGATATGAAATGTGTGGTATGTATGTATATGCGCCAAAAAATAATTGTCCTTGTGCTTTTTGCTTGTAGTTCTTGTGCTCACTTTGTATATTGGCATAATTTTTAGTTTTTTTTTTTAATTTTTGCAGTGAGGATGAGGCAAGAATGAAAATATATTCTGTTTCAACCAAGCACTACTTTGCTTTTGGAGCTCTGGTCTCTGAAGAATTGTCATACAAAATCAAGGGTATGAATTTGGTCAGCTGCTGCTTTCTTCAAAACTCAAGCTTTTAACTTTCTTTATCGCATTCAATGCAGCTCTTCCGGGTGTCCGTTGGGTTCTTCCAGATTCTTATCTTAATGTTAAAGAGAAAGATTATGGAGGTGATGTGATGTTCTTATATAATTGTTTGTTGTTGCTTGACAGTTTTTAATTTTGAAGGTTGCTTTTGAAAAAAATTACTGAAAAAATTAGTTGGCCGCTTTTTCAATATGGCTTACTTTGTCATTCATATGCTTATTTTTACTCTTTTATGAATCTTTGGATCTTTCATGCAGTCCTTAATTTAATTTCTACATGAAATGTTACAGTATTTTTTAAATGAACTTGTTTAATAGGTTTCAAGGCATTTTTTAATTGGGTCATTTACATACATAGCACACAATTCTTATGTATTTACAAATCTCACACCTAAACTTTCATACTTAACACATTACCCTCAAATCTTTTATGTCACATAAAAAACAGCACTATTCCCACTTTTAAAAAGTTAATGCACTTTTTTATGCATAAGTTTAAAGCAACAAAGTACTACTTTATGTAAATATGAAAGTTTTGATTTGTAAATTTCCCTTCATAATTTTATCAATTTTTGTGTTTTTTTTTTCTTTTATGTAAATATGAAAGTTTTGATTTGTAAATTTCTCTTTATAATTTTATCAATTTTTGTGTTTTTTTTCTTTTTTTTCTTATTTTATGCCACTTCTTGAGTTAAAATGATTTTTGTTTTTTGTTGAGGGGGTAAAACAATGATCTTGTATTCTTTGATTATTTTCTTATGGCTTATGTAGATGGAATCATGTTATTGATAATTTTGTTTTAATTTATTTTGAGCATGGAATTCATATACTTATACTGGAGAGTTTATTTTGAATGTGTGTACAGTAGGGGTGGGGTGTAAGTGAGTCAAGCCGACTAATGTGCCGACTCGAGCTCAAATTGATAAGTGACTCATGAACTGAGCTCAATGAGCTAACAAGCCAAGCTCAAGCTAGCCCCAACTCGACTTTTTAGCTCATGATCCGGCTCGTTTTAAAGAAAATTAATATAAAATATACTAAAAATATATTAAATTTCAAAACTTCATCTTTAAAGTTTTAAAAATATTTTTTATTGTATATTAGGTAATTTTTTATTATTCATGTCATTATTGTTCATTATATTTATCATTTTATTATAAAATTACCTTAAATTATTATTATTTTCTCTTCTTTATATCAAACAAGTCAACTCGCGAGCCGGCTCGAACTTGTAGACGAGCTGGAGCTCGAATTAGATAAAATTAATCAAGCTCAAGCCGAGGATGGCTCAAGCTCGACTCGACTCGTTTATACCCTTAGTGTACATTATATAGTTAATACTTATTTTGGTCCACGTCTGACCAAATAATGAAATTTGGAAATTTTATCTTTTTTTCAAAGCATGTATTCCAACTTCAATCAAACAAATGAACCCAAGTGATCTTATATATTTGACTTTAGCACGTCACTTTTTTTTGGTTTAACATGTGCCATACATGTTTTTCTCTTGTGAACTACCTCATTTTCCAAGAAGTCAAAATTTTTAAATTATACGTTAAAACAAATGGCCTGTCGAGTTACTAGCGATGCATTTTTTGTTGATGCCTTCGAAGGTTTATGAAAAATAAATCAAGTATTACCTGCATTATTATGCTTACTTTCTCGGTACAAATTTATGCTGATTTTGTTGACATCTAATGAATTCTTTTGCAATTCCCAAAAAAATCACTTTTTATTTTTCCTTTCACCTCTTATTTGGATTCATTCTTGTCATGATTTCGAGGCAGTGCGGTAGAATTTACTCTAAAGCTTATTCTACAGGTAAAATGTGCGTATTTTTTATTTTGAGAGTTCAATGATGTTTAATTGGGTACATAATGTTACATTTACTTTTTTTCCCGAACAAAGTTAGGCTATGCTTGCAAGTTTACTGCTTTTGTTTACTGTGCTAATCTTTAAGTGAACATGTATGTTTATAATGGTTAAGTTCTTATAAATTTCACTTTTTTATTGATTTGTTACTTTTCCTTTAAAAATGACTAGCATATGCCATTCATTTGAAGAATTTGTTTTTCTGTAAATTTATCTTTTTTGCATTTTGTAGCCTGTGGTAATTGAATGCATCAAACTCATGTCTATATTTCATAATTTTCTTTTCTTTCACCTCACAACTAATGTCATGTTTTATTTCTGATATTTGAATATTGTTTTGAATCCAATTTTGCCATCCCAAAAATTTCTAATGTTGATTTTATGCTTCGTGCCATTTCATTCAAGCAAGTTTCAAATTCTAATACCTTTAACTATTTAGCGAGGAGATTGACCTTAGAAATCGAGGCAATACAAAAATTGAAATAATAGTATGTTGCTTGAGTTGTTTGAACAAAGTAGTTGTTAATTTATCACCAATGTTTGAGTTTTTATTATTCGCAACATTCCACCATTTATCCCAAAAGTAAATGCTACGTGGGATAAAGTAACAAATACTTTTAAACAAGTAGCAAAATGTGTACTTGGAGAATAAAAAGAATTTTTTTTTTTAAATAAAAATAGTTGGTGTTGGAGTAATAATGTGCAAGAAAAGATAAAATGTAAGAAGTTATATTATAAAAATTGGTTTAAATTTAAAAGCTTAGAGAATTGGGAAAAATATCAAACGGCCTGCAGGAAGTCTAAAAGAACAATATGTGACGCTAAAAACTCTGTTTTTAATGATCTTTATAATAGATTAGACACTAAGGAGGGTGAAAATATATGTTTAAACTAGTCAAACAAAGAGAAAAGAAAAGTAAAGATTTAACTCAAGTAAAGTGTATTAAAGATGAAAATCGAAAAGTATTTTTTAGAAAAAGATATTCAACATAGGTGGGTGAGTTATTTTGATAAATTATTTAATAAAGTTTCTAAAAAATAAGATCGACCTTAGTGATATTAATATCGTTAATAATAATAAAACGTTTCATATTTACCGTCGCATTAGTAAAAAAGAAATTGAAGAGCCTTTAAAGAAAACCAAGGGTGGAAAGTCTGTAGGATTTAATGTTATCTCAATTAAATTATGAAAATGTTTAGGATATTTGGGAGTTTCTTGGCTAAAGATGCCTGAGGAGTGGAGGAAGAGTATTTTGGTCCTTATTTTTAAGAATAAAGTGTATGCACAAGAGTGTGCAAATTATAAAGGAATTAACTTGATGTGTCATACTTTAAAATTATGAGAAAAGGTAATTGAACATAAGCTAAGACGCATTACAAAGATTTCTCACAAAGATTTCTCATAATCGTCGGACAAGTCTACTATGGAAGCTATATATTTATTGATAGGTTTGATTGAGAAGTTCAGAAATGAGAAGAAGCTATACATTTATTGAGAAGTTTGATGAAGAAGTTCAGAGATAATAAGGAGAATCTACATTTGATTTTTATTGATTTAGAAAAAACTTACGATTAAGTTCCAAGAGATATCCTTTGGGGAGTTCTTGAGAGGAAAGGTGTTGATATGACTTATATTCAAGTCATTAAAGATATGTATGCTAGAGGTGTTATTTGTGTTCGAACTAAAGGAGGATTGACCAAATATTTTCCTATTTCTGTTGGATTACATCAGGGATCGATTTTAAGCCCATATCTTTTTGCTTTAGTTATGGATGGTCTTACTGGACATTTACAGGAGGATGTAGCTTTGTGTATGCTTTTTGCTTTATGCTTTTTGCTGTTAATATTCTTCTCGTGGATAAGACGAGAGAAAAGTCCAGGAAAAACTTGAACTACAGGATAAGACGAGAGAAAAGCCCAGGAAAAACTTGAACTACGGAGGTCTACGTTGGAGTCTAAAAGCCTTCATTTTGAGTCAAACTAAAACTGAATACATGGAATGTAATTTTAGTAGTAGCTCTAGTGACAGAAGTGCAACTTCAGGTGATCAAATTATTAAAAGGTGTGAACGATTTCGATGTCTCGGATCTGTTGTTCAAAGCAATAGATGGGGATGTTAATACTAGAATACAAGTTGGTTGGTTGAAGTGGAAGAATGCTTCGGGCCTTTTGTGTGATAAATAAGTACCGCTTAAACTAAAAGGAAAATTTTATAAGACGGTGGCGAGACCTGCAATGCTATATGGCGCTGAATGTTGGCTTTTAAAAGAGAAGCATAATACTAAGTTAAGTGTTGCCGAGATGAGAATGATTAGGTGGATGAGTGGCTTTACACTTAGAAACAAAATGCGAAATGAATATATCCATGATCGGGTTGTTGTAGCTCCTGCGACGGACAAAATTAGAAAAAGTCGTCTTAGATGGTTTTGTCACATTAAGCGTCGACCATCTGATGATTCAGGTTTTGACCTCGGAAGACTTGGGCTTATTGTATAAGAAATGATTAAGGTTTTCTTGTTGTATGTATGTATGTTTGTTTGAATTATGATATTTTTTTTCTTATTAGCTGAAGATTTTGTCCCATACTAAAATCTTCTATTCGAGGCTGTTTATGACTTGAAATAATTATTTCATTTCTGAATCTTCCATGCCTACTGTTGATATTCGAGTATCTTCTGTATTATGCATATTGAATAGAATTCATACTGTTACAAAATGTATTTTTTTCTCAAGTGTACTGCTGTTTTCAGGTTTCAAATTTTGAAAAAATGATAGTTATATGTATTGAGTTAACTTCTGGCTTTAGACAAGCTAAAGTTAAGTTTATTTTTTTTTTTTTACAGTTTTGAGATGCGTTCTAACATTTCAAAATATGATTTACATTTCAAAATATGATATTCACAAAATGGTTAATAATTAGGATTATTAATAACTGTTGATATATTTGCTAAAATTTTGACAGCATTAGAACTATTGAAAAACAAACTTAAAAATAGTTGAAGCTAATGAGATAGAAAATAAAATTAGAAATATGCAAAGTAAATATGTTTAAAAAGTATCGAATATTAATTCATAATAATTTATTTTCAGTTCAATTAGTATTGTGTGAAATTTTCTACATGTCAATGCATCTAGCTGCATGTAAATTTCACTTATATATAATAATATTTTGATTATATATATATATATATATATTTATTTATTTATTTATTTATATCAGCCCGTTGATGTTATCTTATTATTTACATATCTTACGCTTAAAACATTCATATTTACAGACATTTGTTTTGCATCACATAAGAAGTACTCCCATCACTATCTTTTTAAAAGTGGATAATTTTCTTTTCATGCATAGACTTATAACATCAAGGCTTTATAAATGTATATATTAAACTCTGGGTTTTAGATTTGTAAATAAATTATGATTGTTTGGTATCTATGTATATTTCCCTTTGGGTTATCATCATGTTTATATGTTATGTGTGTCAGTGTGGGTATGGCTGTTGTCTGTTGCTGCTATGCTAGAGATGTATTGCTCTCTGAACTAGACTAACTTTGGTATCTTTCTGCTTATTATCCAACAGGAGAGCCTTTCATCAACGGACAAGCAGTTCCATATGACCCCAAATACCACGAGGAGTGGGTTAGGAACAATAGTCGTGCGAACGAGAGGTCGCGACGCCAAGATCGGCCTCGCAACTACGATCGGTCAAGGAATTTCGAGCGACGTCGAGAGAACATGCAGAGCCGAGAATTTCAGAGTAGAGAAGCTCCTCCCATGCCAAATTTTCAGAACGCTGCTTCCCCTCCACAACCTGGACCTAACTCGCCCGAGCCAATGCCTTCGAACCCGAGTTCCTTCCCTAATCCAGGGCCCAACACACCGCCCAGCTACGGTTATCAGGCTGGCCCGCCTCAATCAGCACAACCCAGTGGCCAGGGTTATCAGGCTGGGCCGCCTCACTCCGTGCAACCCAGTGGCCAGGGTTATCAGTCCGGTCCGCCCAGCAGCCAGGGTTTTCAAGTGGGTGGGATGAGCAGCCAAGCTTATCAACCCAGTTCACCTAGCAGCCAGGGATATCAACCAGGTCCACCACGTGTCCAGGGATATCAACCAGGTCCGCCCAGTGGCCAGGGTTATCAACAAGGTCCGCCCGGTGGTCCGGGCTATCAACCCGGTTCGTCTGGAAACCAAGGCTATCAACCAGGCCCACAAGGCAGCCAGGGCTATCAATCGGGTCCGCCTAGTGGCCCAGGTTATCAGTCCGGTCCGCCTGGCGCCCAAGGGTA